TTTTTTTAAGGGCCCCCCAAAAATTTTAAAAAGGGAAAGGGGGACCCTTTTTTCCCCCAAAAAGGGGTTTTTTTGGGGGAAAAACCCCCCTTGGGGTTTTTTTTCCCCCAAAGGGGGGGGGCCCCCCCAAAAAAAATTTTTTTGGGGAAAAAAAAAAAAGGTTTTTTTTTTTAAAAAAATTTTTTTTTTGGGCCCCCCCAATTTTGGGGGGGGGTTTTTTTTTTGGTTTTTTTTTTTTTTTTTTTTTCCCAAAAGGGGGGGGGCCCGGGGAAAACCCTTTTTTTTTTTTTTTTTTTTTTTTTTTTGGGGGGGTTTTTTTTTTTTTTTTTTTTTTTTTTTTTTTTTTTTTTTGGGGTTTTTTAAAAAACCCCGGGGGGGGGGGGGGGGGGGGGGGGAAACCCTTTTTTTTTTTTTTTTTTGGGGGGTTAAGGGTTTTTAAAGGGGGGAGGGGGTTTTGGGGGTTTTTTTAAAATTTTTTTTTTTTTTTTTTGGGGGGGGGGGGAAAAAACCCTTTTTTTTTGGGGGTTGGCCCAAAAAAATTTTTGGTTTTTTTGGGGGGTTTTAAAAATTTTTTTTGGGGGGGGCCCCCCCAACCAATTTGGCGGGGGGAAAACCCCCAAAAAAAAATTTTTTTTTTTTTTGGGTTTAAAAATTTTTAAAAAAGGGGGGGGAAATTTTGGGGGGGGGAGGGAAAGGGGGGGGTTTTTTTGGGGGTTTTTAAAAAAAAGGGGGGGGGGGGGGTGGGGTTTTTTTTAAAAAAAAATTTTTGGGGGTTTTTTAAAAAATTTTTTTTTTTTTTTGGGGGGGAAAAGGGGGGGGTTGGGTTTTTTTGGGGGGGGAAAAAAGGGGTTTTTTTTTTTTTTTTTGGGGGGGGGGTTTTTTTTTTGAATTTTGGGGAAAATTTTTTTTTTTTTGGGGGTTTTTTTTTTTTTTTTTTTTTTTTTTTTTTTTTTTTGGGGGTTTTTGGGGGGGGGGGGGGGCCCCCGGGGGGCCCCCGGGGGGGGGGGGTTTTTTGGGGGGGAAAAAAAGGGGGGGGGGTTTTTTTCCCTTTTTTTAAAATTTTTTGGGGGGGGCCCCGGGGTTTTTTTTTTTTGGGGGGGAAAAGGGGGGGGGGGGGCCCCCCTTTTTTTTGGGGGGGGGGGGGGGGGGTCTGGGGGGCCCAAGGGGGGGGTTTTGGGGGTTTTTTTAAAAAAAGGGGGTTGGGTTTTTTTTCCCCCCCCGGGGGTTTTTGGGCTTTTTGGGCCCCGGGGGGGTTTTTTTTTTTTTGGGTTTTTTTTTTTTGCCCCCTTTTTTTTTTTTTTTGGGGGGGGGGGGTTTTTTTTTTTTTTTTTTGGGGGCCGAGGGGGGGGGGTTTTTTTTTGGGGGGGGAAAAGGGGTTTTTTTTTTTTTTTTGGGGGGGGGGGGGTTTTTTTTTTTTTTAAAAAACCCGGGGGGTTTTGGGGGGTTTGGGGGGGGGTTTTTTTTGGGGGGGGGGGAAAAAACCCCTTTTTTTTTTTTTTTTGGGGGGGGGGGGGGCCCCCCCGGGGGGGGGGGTTTTTTTTTTGGGGCCAAAAAAGGGGGGGGGGGGGGCCCCCCCCGGGAACCAAAATTTTTTAAAAATTTTTAAAAATTCCCGGGTTTTAAAAAATTTTTTTAAAAAAAAATTTTTTTTTTTGGGGCCAAAAAATTTTAAAATTTTTTTTTGGGGGGTGGGCCCCCCCCAAAAAAAAAAACCCGGGGGGGGTTTTAAACCCGGGGTTTTGGGGGAAAAAAAAATTTTTTGGGGGGGGAACCCCAAAAAAAAAAAAACCCCCCCCCCCGGGGGGTTTTTTAAAAAAATTTTTTTTTGGGGGGGGGGGGGGCCCCCCCCCAAAAAAGGTTTTTTTTCCCCCCAAAAAATTTTTTTTGGGGGGCCAAAAAGGGGGGGGAAAAAATTTGGGGGGGGAAAAAAGGGGGGGGGGGCCCCCCCAAAATTTTAAAAGGGGTTTTTTGGGGGAAACCCGGGGGGGGGTTTTTTTTTTTTTTTTGGGGGGGAAAATTTTAAAAAAAACCCCCGGGGGGTTTTTTTTTTTTCCCCCCCCCCCCAAAAAAAAAAAATTTTTTTTAAAAATTTTTTTAAAAAATTTGGGGAACTTTTTTTTAAAAAAAAATTTTTTTTAAACCCCAAAAAAAAAAAAGAAAAAAATTTAAAAAAAAAAAATTTGGTTAAAGGGTTCCCTTTGGGAATTTCCCCCCCCCCAAAAAAAAAAGGGAAAACCCCCAAAAAAAAAAAATGGGGCCAAAACCCCCAATTAAAAAGGGAAAAAAATTTAAAAGGGGGGAAAAACCCCCTTTAAAAAAAAAAACCCCCTCAAAAAAAAGGGGAAAGGGCCCCCCCCAAGGTGGGGAAAACCCCAATTAAAAAAAAACCCAAAAGGGGAAAAAAAAGGGAAAAAACCAAGGGGGAAAGGGCAAAACCAAAAAAAAAGGGGGGCCCCCCGGGAAAAACCCCCAAAAAGGTTTGGGGTAACCCCAAAAAACCATTAAAAACGGCCATTTTTTGGGGGGGGAAACCCCCCAAAAAAAAAAATTTTTCCCCCAAAAAACCCCCCTTTTTTTTTTAAAAAAAAAAAAAAGGGGGGGCCCCCCCCTTTAAAAAAGGGGGGGGGCCCCCTTTAAAACCCAAAAAAGGGGGCCCCCCCCCAAATTTTTTAAAAAAAAAAAAAAAAGGAAAAAAATAAAAACTTTTGGTTTAAAACCGGGGGAAAAAAAAGGGGGGGAAAAAAAAACCCCGGGGGGGGGGGAAAACCCCAAAAATTTCTCCTTTTTTTTTCCCCCCAAAAAAAAAAGGGGGGGAAATTTAACCCCTTAAAAATTTTTAAAGGGGCCCCCAAAAAAAAAAGGGGGGGCCCCAAAAAAGGGAAAAAAAACCCAAAAGGGGGGAAAAAACCCCCCCCGGGGGTTTCCCCAAAAACCTTTCTTTTTGGGGGGGGGAAAAAAAAAAAGGGGCCCCCCAAAAAAAAAAAGGGAAAAAACCCCCCCCGGGGGGGCCCCCAAAAAATTTTTGGGGGGGAAAACCCAAAAAAAAAAGGGGGGTGAACCCCCAAAAAAAAAAAACCCCAAAAAAAAAAACCAAAACCCCCCCCCCCAAAAAAACTAAAAGGGACTGGAAAAAAAAATTTTTTTTCCCCCCCCCCCCCCCAAAAAAAAAAAAGGGGGGAAAAGAACCCCGGGGGGGGGACTGACCAACCCAAAACCAAACCCCCCCGGTTTACCTCAAGAACTACTACTACAAGGTTGAGGGACTGACAACCTCAAGACCTACTACTACAAGGTTGAGGGACTGACCACCTCAAGAACTACTACTACAAGGTTGAGGGACTGACCACCTCAAGACCTACTACTACAAGGTTGAGGGACTGACCACCTCAAGAACTACTGCTACAAGGCTGAGGGACTGACCACCTCAAGAACTACTGCTACAAGGTTGAGGGACTGACCACCTCAAGAACTACTGCTACAAGGTTGAGGGACTGATCACGTCATCATTACCTCGCCACAGCTGCTCTATCCATATTTACTCTCCTCTTTGTAGGCGAAAGTTCCAACAACAAGTATTGCACAGGTATGTTACTCAACTGGTCAGTAGTCACTCAGCAGATATACTCCAGCTCAGCAGAATGGTCTTGTCAGCTGGAGGGGCTGCTGAGAACGCTAAAGTACAGTTTTCCATTACTGTGTTTTGTCCAGATTTAGACACTATGATAGTGATCCTTCCGTCTAACTGACGCTCTTTACTTCTTTACCTGTGTCCCTTGCTTGTTACTACTATTGTCTCCACCACTGTCACTGCACCACCACTACCACCAGCATCACCACCACCACCACCACCACCAGTTTCACCACCACTGCCAACAGTATCACCACCACTGCTACCAGCGTCACTACTACCACTGCCACCAGCATCACCACCACTGCTTCCAGCATCACCATCATTGCCATCAACATCATCACCACTTGCCATCAACATCATCACCATCATTGCCTCAGAGGACGAGGCTGAGTCCAGGGACTCGTGTGAGTACTTTTCCCAGAAGTTCGGTCAGGGTGAGTCTGGAGGTCGTATGGAAGTGAGAGGAAGATGAACCGAGAGACAGGCATAGTTTGACACAGATATGTACAATGTAGCCCATATGTGACGGAAGAAGAGTGACGTTATATGTGACGTGCACACACATCTTACAGATACTCTTCTTGTTACTCACAAACGCTTCTGTTACACAAACATCACAGTTTCTGTCTATGGGGATACGAGGGAATAGCATGTAACGGAAAAATATTTTTTTTATCCACACCACATTATGTTAAGGGCGCACTCAGACCCGCATTTCCAAGAAGGGCTGCAAATCCTTCCTGGACACACGGACACGCTACCCATTCTCCTCATCTCCCAGGAACCCTTTCAAGACAGAATAGGGAAGATGAACAATGTACACTGAACACTGAAAAGGTTACATGAAAACTGAATAATAGACAACTCCTGAATCTAACTCCACATCTGACACTTCAGGTGACTGAAGATGCTAGATAAGACTCCATTGTAGTCCAGGAGGAACAGAAACTTCGTCTGGTTTCATTTTCCACGAGGTCCAGGACAGACCGAAATGTCGCCTGGTTCTTATATACGACTTGCGTGTACTGAAAGACAAAACAACATTGTCAAGGGCAGTGAATAGTATAACCACAGTGATTACTGCAGAACTAAACGATAAGTACACGAGACATCGTCTAGGGGTGAGCTTTCTCGTGACTTGAGAAAGCTCACGAGTGAGCGAGACATTCTGTAAATAGAGACTTTCTCTGCTAAAATTTTCTTTGTTCTGTCATAGTTTGGAACAGTTCCATTATCGCTTTTTTTATATAACTGTCCCAACATCGTTGCTGTTGTTAATAGTCCCAATATATTTATTGTTGTTGTTAATTGTGTCATCATTATTGTTTCCGATAATTTATTTGACAGGAAAAAAATAATTATTCGTCAGGAACAAGAGTGTTGGTGGGCAGTAAAAGCCAGTCGAGTCTGGTGTTGGTGGTAAACACGCTCACCTTCTCAATGGCGTCTTCATCTTAAAAGTAAGCTGTGTCAGTGTTTAACATGTGTCCTTTGAAAATCTGAAGACCACTCAACTTACTCGTAAAGTGACTTTAATCTTTAAGCGAAGGTATGTATGCACACTGTATATACACAATATGTGTATATACACAATATGTGTATATACACAGTGTATATATACATACTGTGTATATACACTCCGTAGTGTTGCTGTTGTCAGACGTAGCTGGGAATCTGGTCAGCAGTGTCCACCACTGTTATGTTCCTCACCTGTCCAGGGACGGATCTGTTATCAAACTAATAAAGCTTATGATTCAGGGCTCCTAATCTCCGAGGGGCCGCAGAAGCGACTTTAGTCCACATTGCTTAAAAATATTGGGTCCACTGTATTAGCATTTTTTTGTAAAAATAATAATATTCATAATATAGTGTAATTCAGTACAAAATAGTTAAAATAAAAATTAAAAGGTTATTAAAGTATGATGTAGGGTAGCCACTGCTGGTTGCGAAGGCGACCCCATAACAGTTCAGGCTTCAGGGACCCACAAATGTAGCTCCGCCACTGCTGACCACTAGCTGATACTCTGTAAGGAATTGCAAAATGTTGACACTTGCAATTGCAGGAAGTGACGTGAATGAAGGTGTGATGACCTTAGTGTGTGTTGACGCTGCTTGACCGCCACAATGGCGCCTAGAATTCACCTCCCCGGAAGCCGTCACCACTGTTTACATAATCCTTTTTTTTCCAATATGCATTTTCAGCTCGCAGTGAGGCGGATGTTCCGGCTGAGGCGGAGTGTTATGGATGGCCTCTTTGGCCGGGATGAATTCCTTCAGTTTTTTGGTTATTTTATTGAGTAAGTAAATTAAGTGAATGTCAGTGTTACCAGGTGGAGTGAGTGAGCTGCAGCGAGTTCTGACTTACGAAAATATTCTTCAACACTCTCATGGCCTTGAAGTAGTGTAGTCGACCAACCTTGGCCATGACGTAGGGGAGAGAGAGAGAGAGAGAGAGAGAGAGAGAGAGAGAGAACAGAAACAAAGACAGACAGACAGAAACAAAGACAGACAGAAAGGAAGAGAGAATATCAGCTATACATGAAAAATAAACATGAACATTTTATATGAAATATGAAGGAAAGAAAAATGCATGACTGCGACCAATTTTATTTTTTTAACACAGCAGCCGTCTTCCACCAAAGTAGGATGGCCCAGAAAATAAGGAAACACACTCACCATAATTCATTCAATAGCTGCCTTGCCAGAAGTACGCATACATCATAATTCAAATGATTCTCTTATCTGTAACATTCCCACCCCTCCTTTAGAGTGCAGGTACTGTACTTCCCACCTCCAGGACCCCAAGTCCAGCTAACTAATTTCTCACACCTTTTACCTAACCTTCCGACATTCACGACTCCTATAACCTCGTCTATAAATAAATGAAACAACATCGGTAAGAACAACCACCCAGGAAGGTACTACCGTCCTGCCATGTAAGTGAGGAAGGGAAACCCGTCTTACACTTTTACTATACTACTTATATCTAGCAGGAGGCAGGATATATCTACACACGGGTCATCTATATTATTAATTAAGACCAGTGTCAGGTGACACTTGTCAAGTCTTCTGAAGAACATTTTAACAAGCAGGATAAAGGTAAACAATGCCTGTAGTGGCGAGTAGGAGGCAGGATGCAGGTAAACAATGCCTGCAGTGAACTATGACTGGCAAAATCATACATTTGCAGGGCGTTTCTCCAGCTGATTGTTCAAGGACTGAATTGTTTTGGTGTTAGATTCGGAGAGAGAAGCTGACTGTATTCCGCAACTCTGAGAAGAATTCCTTACCACCACTCATGTTCAGTAGCAATCTTCTGTATCATATAGAATAAGGTAGACACACTGTAGTGTTACCACAATGTAACTCTCACATAGAACAGTGTAGCCACACTGTGGGTGTGACCACAATGTAACCATCATATACAGTAGGGTAGTTACGAACTATGGGTGTGACCCCAACGTAGCTATCATATACAACAGGGAAGCCACACACACTGCAGACTGGCTGGAGTGTGGTTCAGGCCTAAGGCTGGGGTCCAGGTTTGGGGCGTGGTCAAGGTTGGGTAAGAGAAAGGAGGTAGAGTGTCCTGTAGAGTGACGGTGGTTGGCTGAACTCTGGGTTTTCCTGAAGGTTAAACGACCGCATCACTTTCCTATCCCAACCCTTCCATGACCTTACTTTCTCTCTCTCTCTCTCTCTCTCTCTCTCTCTCTCTCTCTCTCTCTCTCTCTCTCTCTCTCTCTCTCTCTCTCTAACATGAAAAATAAACAATATTTAAGTATTAATTAGGGGTCAAATCGTCTGTACAAAGCCACCACCAGGGTCATTAATGTGACAATTAACCTCTAGAGTAATATCAATGATACTTTGAGCCCTAGAATTAAAAAAAAACTCCGTGTATATATACACTTTCAGTGAGAACACATGGGAATATACCCACTTCTCAGTCCATATGCAAGGAGAAATATACATTTCACATACGCAGAGATATATACACACACTTCTCAGTAAATACATGTGGAGATACATACACCACAAGTTATATACAATGAAATATACACATTTCTTAGTGTTGATACACGGAAATAATACGTTTATCAGTATACACGTACAAAAATATACACACACACCTCACTTTATACAAACTGATATACACACCCTTTCCCAAATACATAAATTTGTCAGTGTGAGGGAAAAGTTCAATAGATAGGAGTAGCGAGGGAATATATAGTAACAATAGTTTCATTGCCGGCTACTTGTTAAGGTAGGGTAAGTCCAGCTCCCACTATTCCCGCCTTTTCTCCCCCACCCCTAAAGTGATAGTTTGTTTGCCGGCTGCTTGTTAACGTAGGGTCAGTCTAGCTCCCACTATCCCTTCCCCTCCCTCTTCCCCCCCCCGAAAGGTGACGTGTGGGGCTCTGGTTCAAACAGTAATCACTAGACTCACAGCTCCCAGCACTACTGTAAGTACATTCCTGCCTTGTATACTAGTGGATTTATTGGTTGAAAGCTTCACTTTTGACCAATAATAAACTTAGTCCTTTCAGTCTTGCTGTAGGTTGACTGTTGTAATAATCACCACATCTTTTAGGTATTGTACTTATCATGGAGAGTGATTATTTAAGCAGTGGGTAACCTGTCTATCTTTTCAGCTTGGATGACAGAGAGGGTCACCTGTCAATCAACGAGAAAAACTGAAGGAGACGGACTAACGTCCTGGAGACGTCCCATATTGGATTTACTTGCGTGTGCACTTGTATGAAGAATCAGGACATAACCCCTCATCATTACAGCGGTCAAGAACCTGATCTCCTGTCATCGGGAAAGATTACTTACCGCCACTAGAACGAGCCAGTGGGTTGTCACCAACAACTGCGACCCCCCCCCCATCATCAGCAACGGCTTCTATTGCAACAATACACAGTGTCACCAACACCAGACACCCAAGTTTTTAGCGTTGAATTCAGATATCATTTATATTTTTAATTTTTCACTTTCTTTCATGTAGGATCAGTATTTCATATTTAAGTGTTTTATATTTCATATTTCCTAAATAATAAAGTGTTTATATTTGTCAGTTTTTGTTCTTTTTCTATTCATTAATTTTCCTGAGGAGGAGCCAGCCTTAGTAATACTGACTGAAGTTGTTACAGGGCTGAGTAAGCCTTCACAGTCAGTGAGTAATACAGTAGATACAGTGTGTCTTGTGTGAGTGAAGAGTGAATAAAATAACGCAACAATAGACACTGAAGGTAGTCTTCCTGGGAGAGCGAAATATACATGGTTTAATACTGATAATTTGTCAAGAGTAAACTGTTATTGTCAGACCGCTGCCGTTGACGGTAACAGGGAAGGGTGAATGTTGCCGTTTCACGGACAGATTATTAATTATTATTATTATTATTATTATTATTATTATTACTATTATTATTATTATTATTATCATCATCATCATCAGATCAGCCCGTCCACTTAATGACAGTCATCATGGCACTGTTATATAGACTGTCAGGATGGTTGCTGATAGAGGCATCTTAAACAGTGAAAATCTGACGTAGTTACGTCTACCTCGCTCTGTGGCTGACAGTTTTCTACTCTCGCACCCGAGTTGTTTATCTGTTTTCTTGTATTTATAGTTTTTTTTCGTTCTGGCGTGTTATAATTATTTTCTTTTTTTGGAAAGAGGCCAACCTATCCTAACCTAACCTAACCTAAACTAACCTAACCTAACCTCACCTATTCTAACCTAACCTAACCTCACCTATTCTAACCTAACCTAACCTCACCTAACCTAACCTCACCTAACCGCACCTAACCTAACCTAACGTTACTTAACCTAACCTAACCTTACCTAACCTTACTTAGCCTACTTTCACCTAACCTAACCTCACCTAACATGACCTAACCTTACTTAACCTAACCTCAAGTAACCTAACCTAAGCTCACCCTGTATCAAGTCAGAACACCTCCAACTTTCCAGATACTATATGACCCCTACGGATTTAGCGCCACCCCTTAATTAAAATACAACTAGCTGTACAGACATAAGTGCAAGCAGCTTACACATCAGTGACCATTGTGAAGGAGACAGGCTGTAAATACCATTAACCATAACTAGTAAGGGAAATACTGAGAGCAAACACAGACTGTAGGTCTGTGTTTGCTCGTTATGAAGAAAATGCAAATAAGAATTATGGTAGGAAACGAGTCAGTGAGAGAGGTACGTTAGTTAATAATGAATAAGTAAAGCACAACAACGAGTGCTGCAGTGGATGGAATAGTGACAATGTCGGGAGAAGGCAAAGTGGGTCAGGGGTAATGAAGGGTGGTAAGTGATCAGGGGTAAGGGGGGGTGGTAGTGCATCAGGGGGTAAAGGAGGATGGAGTGGATCAGGGGCAAAGGGGGGGTGGTAGTGGATCAGGGGATAAGGAGGGGTTGGTAGTGGATCAGGGGATA